GTGCTTATGCACAGCGCCCACAATTTGAGTTAATTTTCTTTAGCTTTTTAAGGCCCACAATTTGAGTTAATTCCTTTTAGTTTTTTAAGGCCCAAAATTGTTTACATTTTGTATATAGTTTGAGAAGAAAAAAATTATCTTATATAATATAGTATGAGAGGCTGGCATGTGTCACCTATTTTTTGTCATATATCTTTTTAATTTATTTATTCAAGAGAAAATGAAAATTATAAGTCTTTTTCTCTTTCTAATAAATTAGACAATTAATTCTAACAATTTAATAGTTAATTCTAATGTTAATTAATTCTAATAAGTTATAATATATATTAGACATTGTCTTTTTTTTTATATTGACAAAAAATATGATTCCAAATTAAATGTGTTATTATAAAATTTTAATGGTTTGAAAAATAGATAATTTATTTATTGAACCCAATAATATACTATATTAAAAATCTAAGATTTTAAAGTTTTTTCTCTAAACTTAATAACAAGTTAGTGCAATTAAAACTTTTGTGGATTGAGAAAAACTCATTTTATTTTTATTATTCATTCCATACTGTAATCATGATGGCAAAAACAGAATTCACTTCACCAATGAATCAATGTGAAAGATAAAAATCACAGCAAAACAATAAAAAAAAAAGAATATAATCAAGCAACAATTATTCTTTTTTTTTTTACGATTCAAAGTTCTAACGAAATAAACATAGAGACACATTCCAACTTTTTTGTTGAGATGATGCAAATCAATAAATTTCTTTACCAACTTTACTTTTTACATTTGTATTATCTCACATAATATATGCATATCTTCTACAAGTTTGTCAGGTAATATACAAATTTTTATTAATGAACGATATTTTACATATAATATTATATCAATAATTTATTACAAATGTTTAATTTTTGAATCTAAATAATTATTTACTATAAGCACCAAATGACTTTAACACTGTAACACTAGGCTCAGTATAAGTTTGCGTGGAGCTTGACCTAGTGTGATAATATATAATCTGATTTCGGTATTCTAAAAACGTTATTTCTCTCGGTAAATAGGCTATTTAAAATAGTAAACCCGATTCTATCTAGTTTCCAATTATTATTTTTTCATTTTTGACCAAGTCATATGGTATAAAATAGTGATTTGAACATTGGAAAATTCATCGACAACACCACAATACCACAAAGGTCTTTTAAGACTTCCATGTGGCCTTTTCTTATTCGCAGATGATTTCATTTTTAATGCTCGGACCTTCCTTGATGATTTTCTCACCACATATATTATACACAAATTCATTGGT